CCGTTCCTCTTTGCATTTTCGGAGAGTTGTGATCGTAGTTCTAGACCCTCGTGGCAATGTTGTTAGAATTTTTCTGGAAATTGGAATCAGGCAATGTATCCAATTCATTTTTTGAGAAAAACATTTGCTAGTGTGTTTGATAGTCCCAAATAGCTAAAAAGTTTTCTTTCCCAATCACTAATTTTGCAGAAGCGTATTTTTGGTGTAAATAGATACAGACATGCTTAAGAGCTTTTGCTCTGGAGCCAGAGTGCCTGGGCTCTAACTCTTAAGAAATGTGTGAACTTGGATTAATCACTTAACCTCTAAGTGGCTCCGTTTCTTCAGGTGTATAGTGTGTGAGACATATATGTATATATACCCATATTTTTATTGTATTATATATAATATGCTATGTAATATACATGTATAGCATAATAAAAGTGTGTGTGTGTGTGTGTGTACACACACACACACATAGTAACCTGCTTTGTGTGGTTGTCGTGAAGGTTAGGTGAACCACCAAGCATTGTGTTTGGCACATAATAAACACTACATAAGTGTTACTTATATAAAGGTAGCATTTTCTTCTATAATTTGGTTTTTATTTTAAAGATTCTTTTTTTTCTTTTTTTCAGCTGGGTGTCTCCATCACCCAGGCTGGAGTGCAGTGGCATGATCACGGCCACTCTAGCGTCGACCTGCTGGGCTCTGGTGATCCTTCCACCTCAGCCTTCCAATTAGCCAGAACTATAGGTGTGCACTACCATGCCCGGCTAATTTTTTATGTGCTGTAGAGAGGAGGTCTCACCATGTTGCCTAGAATGGTGTTGAACCCACAGGCTCAGGCAATCCACTCGCCTCAGCCTCCCAGAGTGCTGGGATTACAGGCTGAGCCACCAAGCCCAGCCTGTTTTAAAGATTCTAATTGTGAAATATCCCCTGTGTGTTCTTTGTGAAAATATAATAACTTTACCCCAGAATTTCTGTAATATCTGATACTTCAAAATACAAGTAATCAGTAAGTAGAAATAGACAGTATGCACAAAGCTGTGTTGAGCAGTGTGTAGTGTTTCACCACTCCTCTGTGTGAGAAAAAGGAATTTATCTTTTCACCAGAGGAAATTAGTGAATAGAAGAAAAGCTTCATGTTAAGTAATGTCATGATGTCTTCACTATTCTTTTGAGGAAAAGCCCTAGAACACAAGGTTGACTCCAGGATAATTGTATAGTACTGTATATGTGAACTTTATTAAGGATCAAGTAAATCTCATTATATAATTTTCTCAACAGACCGTTGAAGGATGTTTGTTCCAAGATCTCTAAAAATCAAGAGAAATGCTGATGATCATGGCAAAAGTTGTGTGGCTAAGAAAATTAAACCAGAAGCAGAAGACCTTGAGCTAGACAAGGGCCAAGAAATTCCAGCTGATTCTTTAGTTACAGAAGAAACCACAACACCAGACAGGCACAGCAGTGAATCATGCCCCTTCCCCAGTCCATCAGACCAGTTGGCTGAGGTTTGTTCCGTAGGTTCTGAGCAGGGTGCGAAGGACAACCATCCTTCTGAAGAGCCTGTTAAGTCGTTTTCCAAAACACAGCGCTGGGCAGAACCTGGGGAACCTGTCTGTGTGGTCTGTGGTCGTTATGGAGAATACATTTGTGATAAGACAGACGAAGACGTGTGTAGCTTGGAGTGTAAAGCAAAACATCTTCTACAAGTTAAGGAAAAGGAAGAGAAATTAAAACTCAGCAATCCACAGAAAGCGAATTCTGAGCCAGCCTCTCCATGGAATGCTTTCTATGTCTACAAAGAGCACCCCTTTATTTCAAACCTCCAGGAAGACCAGATTGAAAATCTTAAGCAGCAGCTGGGAATTTTAGTTCAAGGGCAAGAAGTCACCAGGCCCATTATTGACTTTGAACATTGTGGTTTCCCTGAGGTCTTAAACCACAACTTGAAGAAATGGGGTTATGAGGTGCCAACCCCCATCCAAATGCAGATGATTCCTGTGGGACTTCTGGGAAGAGACATAATGGCCAGTGCGGATACTGGCTCAGGAAAAACAGCTGCTTTTCTTCTTCCTGTTATCATGCAGGTTTTATTTGAGGTAAGTTATAGAGTTCTACTTGTATTATTCTCAGAAACAAATGAAATATTTACCAAATTTCATCCTTAACTATATTAAAATTGCAGGATGAAGGCTGGGTGTTGTGGCTCACGCCTGTAATCCCAGCAATTTGGGAGGCCGAGGTGGGAGGATTGCTTGAGACCAGCCTGAGCAACATAGGGACTCCATTTCAAAAAATATAGGAATTACCCAGGCGTGGTGGCACACAGCTGTGGTCCTGGCTTCTCAGGAGGCTGAAGTGGAGGATCACCTGAGCCCAGGAGGTCAAGGTTGCATTGAGCTGTGATCATGCCTCTGCACTTCATCCTGGGTGACAGAGCGAGACACTGTCTCAAAAAAAAAAAAATTGCAGGTGGAAACTAAATATGTGAAACTTTAGTCACTAGTGTCCTTAGTGATTTTGCTTCTTATAGTAGTTTATATGAAAAACATAACTTTAGGGAATTTTTGTTTTATTATATTGAACCAAAGGTCTCTTTATTGAGGGTCTTAAAAATTGCTTCCTTACAAAACATTTTCTTTTCTCTCTCTTTTTTTTTTTTCTTTGAGTTGGAGTCTCACTCTGTCACCCAGTCTGGATTGCAATGGCACACTCACCACTACCACAGCCTCTACCTGCTGGGCACAGGCGATCCTTCCATCCCAGCCTTCCAAGTAGCTGGAATTACAGGCATGTGCTATCACACCTGGCTAATTTTTTCTAAATGTATTTATTTATGTAGAGACTAGGTCTTGCCAAGTTGCCCAGGCTGGGCTTGAGCCCCTGGGCTTAGGCAGTCCTCTCGCCTCCATCTCACAAAGTGCTGAGGTTACAGGCATGAGCCATTATGCCCAGCAAAACATTTTCTTTCAACTGATATTTTATTAAAAGAATAAGCTTTGGATTTGGGGGAGGGGAAGTCCTACTTAGCAGATGAGCTGCAATTTATGTGTTAAATTTACCACCTTGGAATTTGTATTTTGAAGAAACTTACTGATTTATACCAAAGTTGGAGCAAATCGTGGAATTTCAGATATACCCTTAAATATGATCTATAGTTCATCTTAAAACAATATCACCTTACTTCTTAGTTTACAGTATAAAAGCCCTTTGAAACATAATTAGTTTAACAAGCGCTTTGGGTAATTACCATTTGCCAAGTACAGGTGAGCTTGTGAAGTATGAAGTATGGTGAGGAGGGAAACAAGAAAAATATGTGGGCAAAGAGAAGATAAATAAAGGACAAAAATCTGGAAAACTAAAGAGTGGTGTAGAAGATGTGTGGGGGGAAAGAAGGCACTCGATGTTCAGAATATAGGTCAAACATGCTGGAGGACCAAAATAGAGCTATATAGCAGAGAATAGGATGAGGATATATATGTAAGTTCTTTGGACAGAGAAAGAAGTGAATGCACAGGAGAGCCGAAAGGGAAAAATCAAGGGTAGACTGCCCAGCTTTGACCACATCTTCATGGTGACTCTCGGATTTTCTCTTCAGAGAAGGATGGCTGGAGATTGCAGGGTCCAGTGAAATAGGAGCAGACTTTAGTTTTCACACCTCAGTCACTCTCCCCAGCCCCAATTTTGATTTTTCATTATAGGAGAGAGGACCCCCAAAAATGAGGAATTGGTTTATTAAAAATTCTGTATTCATTCTTGCATGTTTAAACTTCAGTCACCTTCAAAGTACTCTCTGATGCAGTGCACCTATCAAGACACTTTTTTCCACTGCTCAGTTTTTGAACTCATTGATTTTGATGTCTTTTAGTGCTTCTGAGGTTTTTTGTTTCACTTCTTCCACATGGGCAAAACATTTCCCTTGGAAGACTTTTTTTCATTGGGAAAACAAAAAAAAAAATCACTCTGGGTGAAATTAGGTGAATAGGGAGGCTGGAACACAGAGGTCAGGTTGTTTTTGGTCAAAAACTGTTGAGCACTCAGTGTGGTGTGGGCAGGTACATTATCAGGTGGAAGAACCAGTCACCTGTTTGCTATAACTCAGAACGTTTCTTTTGCAAATTGTGATTCAACCTTCTCAGAACTTCCGGATAAAAACTTTGGTTGACAGTTTGATCTGGACGAACAAATTCTGAGTGTATGACAAGGGGCCTGCCCTCCAAAAGATAATTCCAGGCTTTTTGGGGGTCACGTCTGGTATGTTATGTAAGAAATGGGTTTAATTTTTGATGGTTTTAGGAGGAGAAAAGTCTGCAGCAAGCGGAAGGCAAGAGGATTCATATCCAGTTGGGCTGATGGGAACACTTTAAAAGGGCAGTGTTCTTGGAATCACTGTGAAGATTTAATTCATATCAGCAGGAATTAATTGCTGGTGTTTTTAGACTTGTTTTTCACATCCTTACAGAGCAAAACTCCATCTGCACTCATTCTTACACCAACACGAGAGTTGGCCATTCAGATAGAGAGACAAACTAAAGACTTGATGAGTGGCCTGCCACGCATGAAAACTGTGCTTCTGGTGGGAGGCTTACCCTTACCCCCACAGCTCTATCGTTTGCAACAACGTGTTAAGGTAAGCACCGATTTGATACAATGCCTCAGGCAAGCTTTGTAAGCAATATTAAAAACTAGTGCTTTCTTGTCCCCCTTGAGGAATTTTTAAGTGTGATTTTAGGTGACTTTTAAAATTCTTACCAAGTAAGCCTTAAGTTTTTTTTCCCTAAGTTTGTTTTATATGGAAAAATAGAGAAACACATTTTACTGAATTTCTGTTATATGCCAAAGGCTATTGGATGTTCTCTCGTGAATTATTTCATTTAACTCTCACATTTACTCCTGGAGGTGAGTTGGCATATCCCATATCCCATGTTTTATGGTTGAGAAGTTGACTCTTAGAAAGATGAGGTTTATCTACCTATGATGGTTGTCCAAATCGAGACGTTAATTTACCTGACTCTGCTCCTTCTTTAGCTGTGCTATTATATGTAGTCTGTAGTTTCTGGTATAGGAAAAGATGCAAAAGCAATGTAGTCTAGTTCTGGCTCTGAAGCGTGATGGCTGGCTGTATGACTTAGATAAGTCGCTTCATTGCTGTGAACTTCAGCTTTCTTGAGTTTGAATGGGTAGTTGAAGATACCCGCTTTTAAAGTCAAGATATTTAATGAAAGGTTTGGCACAGATGCTGACCAACTAAAGTCGTCTGCTGCCTTGCTGGAGCTGGGTCTTGGAGGCTCCTTGATGTTCTGGGCATTAACTGTTAGTTACTAGGGTGGTAGGGAGGCCCTAAAGATCCAAGAGAAGCTGGGTCAGCAGAGAATCATGCCTTTCTCCAAGGAGCCATGATTTCTTTTTACTAGAGATAGGATTTAGAAACCGAGCCCTGGCCTCTATGTGTGCTCATTTCTGTTGGGCTGTTGCTGCTCCTAGGACTATCCAGTGGACAGAACTAGGGAGTACATATGAGGGGGAAGGTATACAAAATATGTGTATGCAAAAATCTGTGCATACTCAAGTCCCACAGTTGGCCCACCAGAACCCTAGTATATAAACAGTCAACCCTCCGTATATGTGAGTTTTGTGTTTTGTGTGTGTGTGTGTTTTTTTTTTTTTTTGAGTCAGAGTCTCACTCTGTTGCCCAGGCTGGAGTGCAGTGGCACACTGCTCATGGTCACTGCAGCCTCGACCTGCTAGGCTCAGGCAATCCTTCCACCTCAGCCTTCCAAGTAGCTGGAACTACAGGCATACACCACCACACCCAGCTTATTTTTTTATTTATTGTAGCGACAAGGTTTCACCGTGTTTCCCAGGCTGGTCTTGAACCCACGGGCTCAGGCAATCCTCTCACCTCTGTCTTCCAAAGTCCTGGGATTACAGGCGTGAGCCCAGCATATACATGGGTTTTGTATCCCCTGAATACTGTAGTTTTGACCCATGTTTGTTTTTGAAAGATTCACGTATAAGTGGACTCACACAGTTAAAACCTGTGTTGTTCAAGAGTCAGCTGTACATATGTGTGTGGGTTTTTCTATATCTGTTTATTAGAAGCCATGAGTTTACATTGATACTTCTAACTCTAATTCAACACAACAGGATTCATTTCAGGTTTTCTGTTTTCATATTTTTAACTGACCGGGAGAAACCTACCACGCCTTTTTCTTTTATGCATTTATTTCTTTGACCAATCCTCCTCTATGTCTCCTACCATCACTACTACCCCTTCCCACAGTGATGCCTAGACTCACTAGACTCTACCCTGCATGCTCCTTGGCCTCAGGCTTCAGCACCCCCTGCAGGGATGCCTTTCTGTGGAAGTTCCCCTTTATCTACCTGCCATTCCCACCCCTTGTACCAGCCCGAACTCCTTACAGGCGACTTTTGAGAAAAAATTAACTGAAACCTCTGTCATTTATTTAGCAAAGCTACCTTTCAAGAACAAGGGCAAAGTAAAGAACTTTTCAAATAAACAAAACTGAGAGTTACTACCAATATACCCTGTAAAGGAACTTTGAAACTAAGATATTCTACAGATGAGATGATTCCAGAAAGGAAGGTATGAGATGGAAGAAACAATGGTGGGCAAAGCAGATAGTAAGCATGTGGGTAAATCTCAACAAACATTGACTGAATGAAGCAGTAACAGTAATGAACAATCTGTGGGTTAAAACAAAAACAAAAACAGAAGCCAGGTACAGTGGCTCATGCTCATAATCCTAGCACTTTGGGAAGTCAAGGTGAGAGGGTTGCCTGATCCCAGGAGTTGGAGACTAGCCTGGGCAACATAGTGAGACCTTGTCTCTGTAGTAAATAAAAAAATTAACTGGGCATGGTAGCACATGCCTATAGTCCCAGCTACTCAGGAGGCTAAGGCAGGACTGCCAGAGCCCAGCAGGCTGCAGTATCTGTGATTGGGCCACTGCACACCATCCTGGACAACACAGTGAGACTCCAACTAAAAAAAAAAAAGAGAGAGCAGGGTGTGGTGGCTCACACCTGTAATCGGCACTTTGGGAAGCCAAGACAGGAGGATTGTTCAAGGCCAGGAGTTCAAGATCAGCCTGGGCAACATAGTGAGACCCTGTCTCTACCAAAAAATAAATACAAATAAATAAGTAATTAGCTGGGCGTGACAGTGCATACCTCTAGTCCCAGCTACTTGGGAAGCTAAGGTGAGAGAATTGCTTGAGCCCAGGAGTTCGAGGCTGCAGTGAGCTATGTCTGGGCCACTGCACTCCAACCTGGGAGACAGAGTGAGACTCTGGCTTAAATTCAAGAAAAAGGTAAAAGTGGTAATTAACTTTAGACTTTATTAAGTCATATATGTTGTTAAAATTCAAAGAAAGAACTAGAAGAATGAAAATAGAGTTTGTAACTTCCAAGCCAGCAGAAGGGGAAAAAAATAGAATGAACTCAGTTCAGAATAATTTGTATTGATTTAAATACCTGTGGTATTTCTGAAGTCTCTAAGGAAAACTTTATAGTTCTCTGCATACAAATCCTTATAATGCTTAGATTTTATCATTCTTAGTGATTTTACCTTCCTGTTGGTGTGTATTTGAAATGGAATACATTTGAATTTATTAGAGCATTTGTAACTCTATGGCAGTCAGTGTCTCATTTAATCCTTAAAATAATTATTATCATTTCCATTTTACGGGTGAGAGAACAGAGACATACACCATTACGAAATGCTAGAGCCAGGATTCCCTACCGAAGTTTGACTAAAGAACCCCTACTATAGCCACTACTTCTACTAATACGTTATAAAATTGTTAAGAGACTTAAACAACCTTAGAAATCATTTTGTCCAACTTCTTAATTTAAAAATGAAATACAAGGTCCAGAGATATTGTGGAATTTGCACTTGTTTACTGTGCCAGATGGCAGCAATAAACTGCCCTTCCTGGTCCCTGCGTGGTCTCAAGCCTCTCCCTCCCCTCTCTTCCCCCCTCCCTGGCTGCTAGAAGCCTCCCTGGCCTCCCAGCCTCAGGACTGTCGTAGATGCTTTTCCCTCTGCCTAGGCCACTCTTCACCTTGCTTGCTCTTACTAATCCTTTGTATTTGACCTTATATGTTAGGTAAAACTGGATGGATCCCTCTGTTTATGGCATACTGTATTTATCTCATGAGCACTTTCTTCTTTCTTTATATTGTGAGTTTCATGAGAGCAAAGACTGTGTCTGACTTATTCATCATGGAATTCCAGGTGCTTAACACAGTGTCTGGCACATATTAGCCTCTCAATAAATATAGCATGAATTAACAAATGACTGTTACCTAATCTTAAAATTTGCTTTTTCTCTTTTATTTAGGTTATCATAGCAACCCCTGGACGACTCCTGGATATAATAAAACAGAGCTCTGTAAAACTCTGTGGTATAAAAATTGTGGTAGTAGATGAAGTAAGTAGTGGTGTTTAAAAAACATTTGTTACAAAATGTTATGTAAGTTATGAAAAGTAAAGTTATATCATTTCAATGTATATTCAGGGCATTTTCTTTCTCTATGGGAAAAAACCCAGTCAAAATTGCAGTTGTGGTTCTTAAGCTGGTTCTTGTGTAGCACTGTGGCTAGCATACGGTATACTACACTAGAATTACACCAGAGATATCTTTTCCTAGGTGATAGAAAACACAAATTCAGCCGGGCTCAGTGGCTCAGCCTGTAATCCCGCACTTTGGGAGGCTGAGGTGAGTGGATTGCCTGAGCCCGTGGGTTCGAGATCTGCCTGGGCAACTTGGCGAGACCTCATCTCTACAATAAATCAAAAAATCAGCCGGGCATGGTAGTGTGTGCCTGTAATTCCGGCTACTCGGAAGGCTGAGGCAGAAGGATCACTGGAGCCCAACAGGTCGAGGCTGTGGTGGGTGGGAGCGGCCACTGCACTCCAGTCTGGGCGACAGAGTGAGACTCCAACTCAAAAAAAAAAGAAAAGAAAACACAAATTCAACAAATTCTTTATTCTCAATGATAAGTTTTTAAAGTATTTGATGCTTACTGTCATTTGTCTGTAAAAGTAAAAGATTTAGTAGTAGATGATTAGTAGTAAGTGATTATTAACTGGAATCTTGAAGTAGCTAATAATGGTTAGCTGGACGGCCTTTATTTTATTCTATTTTTTCTCTGAGGGTGTAGACATCTGTGGTTTTGATTTTCTGTATTACATATACCATAGAGGCTTTTTTATATTTTTGGCATGGTTAATAAGATGAAGTAAATGTATTATCCCTTGCTGATATTCCAGCATACGAACAAGCATGGGAACACAGAACCGTGAGCCAGCCCACACTGGGCATGTGCCATTCCTGCGTCTGGGGCACAGGTATCTTCCCACATGTTCCACCATCAGTGACAGAGCAGAGGCCTGCTCTTACCTACCAGTGATCAGAAATGAGGGTTGCTGGGTGCTGACCAGTGATAGTGTCTTGGCCCACCTTCTGTGGGCCCCCATAAGCAGAGGGAAAAAACACGTCGCAAATACCCTCAGGACCAAGGTTTGAACATTTATTCTGCTTCCCATGAGTTCTTGGGCAAATCGTTTAATCCACAGCTGTGTCAAGGATAAAGGGTGATTGTAAAAATGTTTCATAGACTGAAAAGTCCTGTAGAAATGTAAAACAATAAGATTTAGTAACTTAAAAAGTACTGCTAAGTCAGCATTTTCTCGGCACAGCTTTTTGGTAGAACTGATTTTTTGTATCAGATAATCATTAGACTTACTGCCACCCTGAATATATGACTGAGCTTCCCTTTGTTGATAAGCCCATGTTCTTAAGTTCTTCCCATCTTAGGAACCTGAGAAGTAATTCTTGTATGGAATTTAAAGTTAGGTTCTATTCACCCTCACTTCTTTTTACAGCATTTTCATTTCCTTCCACTGACAAAGTTTCATAAAGTTTTTCAGTGCAGTGCTCACTGTCATGGTACAAAGGAAGTACTCATTCAGCAGACATGGATGAAGTGCCTGTTATGTGCAGCCTCAGTCCCAGCTCCGTGGCATTTATGGAATATGGTTTCTGTGTGGTCTAGAGGGGAAATTAGCTGGTAAACAGCATAATTGGTTATGTACTGAAACTGAAGTCAGTACAGAAGTGCTATTTAGGTACAGATTGACCAACTCTGGATACATTTGGATGGCGTCACAGGAAGTTTTGAATACCATTCAAACCTTTACTTGGTGATGAAATCTTTTTGGAGAGAAAAGATACATACACTTGAAGTAAAGACAAGAAAGACCATTATTGTATGTACTGAGATACAGAAGTACTAAATGTATGATACAGGGTGGGATTGGCAAACACTTTCTTTAAAGGACATAGTAAATATCTTGGGCTTTGGGATTGTGTGGTCTCTATTACAACTACTCAGTACAACTGTGGACAGTGTGAGAAAGGATAAGTGTGACTAGGTTCCTGTAAAACTTTTTACAAAAACAGGTAAAGGTCTGAATTTATCCCTAGAGTCATAGTTTGTGACTCATGAATACAAGCTTTTAGTAAAATAATCGGACTCTATAAGATACACTAGTTGTCCAGGACAAATAAGGTCAGAAGGAGAAATAAGAGAGCAAATATACTGGTACTGTAAAAAAGTTGCTTCTCAAAGATGATATTTGACCTGAGCCCCAAATGATGGAAAAAGGTTTAGAAAGCAAGAGGCTATATCAGATATTCCAAGTGAAGGGACTAACCTAAGAGAGTCAGAAAGTTCAAGTGTGCGTGTGCAGAGGCATAGAAGAGACCACCAGCTTGAAGACTTCTTCCTGAGAAATGATAGGAAGTAAAATTGTAGTTAGGGTGGAGTCAAATTATAGAGGGCCTGGAAAGGAAAGCAGAAGAATTTGGTTTTCATGTGGGAGACCATGAGGCTTCCTAAATTATTGAGTTGGGGTGTGACATGTTGAAAGTGGTGGTTTAGGAAGGTTATTCTGCTGCTCAGTATGAGAGAAATCAAAGAAGAGAGAATCTGCAACAGAGCAACCAGCAATCCGGACGGGAGTGAGGGGTTGTTAGGGTGGAGGCAGTAGGCGTCAAGGCTGAAATCAGGGTAAGGGAATCATTCGTGAGTCTTCGGGTGACTGAATATGAGAGAGGAAGAAGAGGGTGCCTCCATAATTTATGGTTGCGCCTTTAACTTTAGAAATGGGCAAGTGGATAAATACTGGGTCTCAGTAATAATATTTGAGTTTGGTTTTAGTTATGTTCAATTTTTTGTGAATGATGAGCTAAGGGAACTAGCCCATAGATCTGAAATATGCATTGGAATCCCTGAGACATGCTTTCTCTAAGGAAGGAAGGTTAGAGAGAAATGGCCAGAAAGAGAGACACAGACTGGGGCTGAGAGCCTGGCTTGTGGAGTTTGAAGATGAGTCAGTAAACAGAGAAGCAGTTTGAGAGACCAGAGAGGAACTGAGAATGAAAATTATCCCGGAAGAAGAGAGAACCACTGTTTCAAAAGAATGGGCAAGGATGAAAACTGAGGTAACTCCTTTGAAATTGGAAAACTCGGTCACCCCTGTCTCTGTCTGTATCTCTATAAACTCTATCTGTATCTCCTATCATACCTGTCCTTTGGCCTAGAATTGTCTCCCACCACATCTGCCTGCTCTTACTTCCTTCAGTGTCCCTAACTCTGAAATACCTCACTGCCCCAGACGGATTTTAGACCTTTTATCCTCTCTGCTCTGCTGAACTGTGCACAGACTTTTTACGTTTCTCATTTAAGTTGTGTTCCCTGCTGTATTCCAGTAATCAAGCACAATGTTTGCCCAAGTTCCCTAGTGATAAGAGTCACCTGGCATGCTCAATGAATGTAATACAAGACCAGACCTCTTACTTGGGTGTTCTGATTCAGTAGCTCTGAGTTGGAGGCCAGGAATCTTTAAAAACTCATTCCAGGTGATTCTTATCTTCAGTGAAGTTTGGGATACCCTGACTAGTAAGTTGCCTAATGTATACTTGTTCAGTGCCTAGAAGTAATGAGTATTCATTTAGTTATGAAATACGTTTTTAGCACTTTTTATGTGCTGGACACTTGTTGGTTTTGAAGATACAGTGGAAAGTGAGACAGGTGAGCTCTGTCTCATGGGGCTGTGACAAATGTACCTCACAAAGTGATTTGGCAGCGGCAACCGGGGCTTACCTTAGATTGATAGTCAGGGGATGACTCTCTGGAAAGGGACATTTCTGCTGAGAGCTGAATGAGAAGAGCCAGGCTTGCAAAGATCCATCTGGAGGGAAGACTGTTTCAGACAGGACAGCCAAGGCTGTCCAGGTGCCAGTGTGCGAGCAAGCATGAGCTATTTGGAAGCAGAAAGAAGGCTGGTGTGGCAGGGTCACAGAGAGTGGGCAGGGAGTGGTAAGAGAGGAACTTGGGGAGTGGACAAGGATAAGAACTTGTAGTACTTTTAGGCCATGGTTAGAAGTTGGATTTTATTCTGTGTGTGATGGGAAACCATTGGAGGGTTTAAGCAGAGACGTGAGAAGATCTGATTTATATTTTTAAAGAATCTGATTGCTTGAGGAGAGTGGATTATGGGATGGAGATGACAGGAATGGGGACAGTTTCACAGATGTGAGCTGCACAGAAGTGACTGGCTTTGGTTTGTGTGAGTGGTGTTGCCAAGATTGTTGATGGATTAGATGTGGGGTGTTGAAGGGAAGGGATGAAGTAAAGGTTTCTGATGGCACCGTCTCCTGGAATGTGTACTGGATTCGGAGCGGGTTTGGCAGGAAGGAAATACAAAAGTCTGTTTTGAACATGTTGAATTTGAAGGGCCAGTTAGATCCAAGTGGAGGTGTTAAGCTGGCATTTGGTTTCTGCCACGAGTTCAGGGAAGCAATCATGGCCAGAGATATGACTGTGAGAGTATTTGATGCATACATGGTATTAAGAACTGTGGAACTTGCTGATCTTATCTGGGGAGACAGTATAGACGGAGATGTGAGGGGACCTGTGGCACAGCCTCTAGGGCTCCCCAACATATAGAGATTAAGAGTAAGGAGTCAGAAAGAGTAGCCAGTGAGAGAGGAGAAGAGTTGTGAGAGGAGAAAGAAGTGCTTGAAGGAGGTGGTGGTCATGATGTCATATGCTGTAATTTAAATATACAGTTTCAAGCATATGCTTATTGTAAGTTTTGGTTGACCCATCTTTTTCCTGTTAGACCATAAATTCATTGAAGGTAGGGTCTGTTCATGTGGCTTGACCACCTAGCACATAGCATTTCAGCTTGGTGCTTATAACATAGACTCTAGAGATTACCAGGTTGCCAAAGTCCATGTCTAGCCCCACTGCTTAATGACTATGTGATATGCCTCAGTTTCCTCATCTTTAAAACTGGGATCATAGTAGTGCCTACCTCACAGGATTGATGTGTAGCACTTGGAAAGGTGCCTTAGTGAACATGAGCTTCAAACCACAGTTAGCCACTCACTAAAGATTTGGTGTGTGAGAGAGTGAATATTCAGCCTTGGGGACCTTCAAGAGTGAGGTTTTGACAGTAGATACGGAAGTCAGATTGTCAGAGATTAAAGAAGTCATGTGTGGCCGGGCTCGGTGGCTCAGCCTGTAATCCCAGCACTTTGGGAGGCCGAGGCAAGAGGATTGCCTGAGCCCCCGGGATCAACACCCACCTAGGCAAATTGACGAGACCTCATCTCTACAATAAATCAAAAATTAGCTGGGTGTGGTAACACACGCCTGTAGTTCTCCTCCTTGGAAGGCTGAGGCAGAAGGATCGCTGGAGCCCCGCAGGTCAAGGCTGCGGTGGCCAGGAGCATGCCACTGCACTCCAGTCTAGGTGACAGAGTAATACTCCAACTCAAAAAAAAAAAAAAAAGAAGAAGTCATGTGTAATAAAGAACTGTAGGCAACACTAAAGACAACTTTTTTGTTTTCTAGAGAAGTTTTTGGCAAAATGTGTTTTATAATAGGAGATATCTAGGTTTACCTCATTATTCTTCTTACTCTATGTTTACCTCTTTCTGTTGCATTTTCAGAGTAACTTTGTTTAATTGTAAATGGTTCTAATATTTGAAACACCTTATAATTGTAAATGGTTCTAATATTTGAAACACCTTATAGTTATGTATAGTCCCCTGCTTTTATTTCTAAGAGCTTTTTAAAAGTATATATAATTTCACATTTTAATCTGCTAACATTCCTCTAAAGTAGATAGGAAATAGATTAATAAGTAGAAAATTGAGTTGTGGAAAAAATAAGATTTTCCCAGGTTCTGATTCATAATGACTTTCAAAAAGATGGTGTTTAGATGGGCACTGGTACATAGATGTTATGTTTGTGTATGTATAAATCAAACAAAAGTTTCACAAAACATTAATTATCCTTACTATGTGTAGTTTGTTTATTCTATATTCTGTTGTTTTTTAATGCTTTTTATGGCCCACTCTGCATTTTGAACAACTATAATTCATGCACATTAAAGACAAGTTGGAAAATGGGGGGATGGTTCCATATATCTACCACATTAAAATAACTGTAGTTAGTGTATTTTCAGATTTTTTTTCCTGTGTGTGATTTGTAAGTGGCCTTAGGAGTTCAGACTTTAATCTGAATACGTTGGGAATCCTTGAAGGAATTTTAAGCAGGAATGTATTATAAACAGACTCATATTCTGGATGTGAAGAAAGAGGGAATACTGGTTCACAGAGTGAAGGGAAGGATTTGAGCCAGGGCAGTGACTGTAGGGTTGGGGAGGAGGGATTTCCAGACATATTTAGGAGATGGAAAGTAAGGGAGGTGGCAGGAATGTCTAGATTATGGGATCATAGGTAGGTTTAATTCTTTATACTTTGTTGTGCTTAGTTTTCTACAGTGAGTGTATTCTATTAGTTTTTTAAAATACAAATTACATCTTAAAGAGAGACTTAAAGACTCTTTGAGGTTGACACTTGGGGAGTGATTTCCTACAAGTGATTGTCAGACCATTTTGGTTTCAGCCACAATTCCAACAAGCATAGAATTTAGTTCTAATGAGATGAGGGAAAAGACTAGTGGATTGAACTGTGAATGTGAAGTAAATAGCAGAGGGATGGAGGGGGAGTTCTGTTCTACTCTTTCAGAAACTTGCATGAGAAGAGAGACTAAAGGAATTTCTTTCTAAATGCCTGCATTTTCTGAAAGCCAGGAGAAGAGGGTAGGACTTAGTGGGGTTATTGAGAAAAGTGGGCGTGTGTGTTCTCCGGTGTCTCAATTAATGGAAGTATTGGCTGAGTCTTATTATGCTGTTGGCACTGTCCCAAGTGTCTTATATACTTTACACTTTATCTCATTAGTCCTCATAACAGCCCTATGTGGTAGTTACTATTATCATTCTTATTTATAAGGGGGAAAAACTAAGGCTTAAAGCTGATTAACTTGTTTAAGGTTGTAGTTGGAGCCAGGATCAAATCCAGTATGTCATGATTATTTTAAATCTCTTAAATGTCATAGGCTGGGCTTGGTGGCTCAGCCTATAATCCCAGCACTTTGGGAGGCCAAGGCGAGTGGATTGCCTGAGCCCGCAGGTTCGAGACCTACCCAGGCAACTTGGCGAGACTTCGTCTCTACAATAAATCAAAAAATTAGCCAGGTGTGGTAGCACGTGCCTGTAGTTCCAGCTACTTGGAAGGCTGAGGCAAAGGATCACAGGAGCCCAGAAGTCAAGGCTGCGGTGGCCAGGAACTGTCACTGCACTCCAGTCTGGGCGATAGAGTGAGACTCCTGTTCAAACTTTAAATGACAGTACATTAGTGGACACTTGAAAATACAATGCTGAGCTGTATGCAGTGGTTCATACCTGTAATCCCAGCTGCTAAGGAGGATTACTTGAGCCCAGGAGGTTGAGGCTGCAGTGAACTACGATCATGCTGCATTCCAGTCTGGGCAACAGAGCCAGACCCCCAACTCTAAAATTAAACAAAGCAAAACAAAGCCCAATACCTTAACAGCTTAAAATAATTAAATATCTTATTGTTCCCAAATTATAGATACCCAGATTGTATCTGAAAATCAAGAGAGCTTTAATCTTTTGTTTTTTTAAGGCAGCCCTGACATTTTTGCTGTTTGCTTAGTGATAAACTCATTGTTGTAAAAAAAAAAAAAAAAAAATACAGAGGTATAAAAGGAAAGCGAAAGCTGCTGTCTTAGTTCTTTCCTGCTGCTATAACAAAATACCTTAGACTGGTATTGTAAACAACAGAAACTTGTTTCTCAACAATTCTAGAGACTGGGAAGTCCAAGGTTAAAGTGCCAGCAGATTGAGGGTCTGGTGAGGGCTTGTCTCTATTTCAAAGATGGTGCCCTCTTGCTGTGTCCTTACACAAAATCCCCTAAACCCTTTTATAAGGACACTAATACTATTCATGAAAGTGCAGCCCTTATGACCTAATCACCTAGAGGCTTTACCTCTTAATAGGAGCATATTGTGGGTTAGATTTCAGCATAGGAATTTGCGGGGGACACCAACATTCAGATCACAGCAACCTCTGACATTAAATGTTTTATTTAAAATAATATCTTATTATAACTACAGTATTTTTTCATAGTTTAAAAAATCAAACTTTGTAAAACTAAAAATAAAAAAGTTAAATTGTCTCCCAACAGCCTTCTCCCCAGTGTTAGCAATTAAGTTTCTTGAGTGTATACACATAACAATATTTTTAACATAAATAGTATCCTGTTATGCATAGTGTTCCGTACTTTGCTTTTTTCTCCTAGCAGTAATCCATTATTTAATAAAAGGTCTTATGATCATTTTTCTTGACAGCATAGTTTTGTATTATATGGATCTACCATAATTTACCAAGTCCTCTATTGATGAATATTTAGAATGTGTATGGTTTTCTGCCACTATTAATAATGCCAATATCAACAGTCTTTATATATCATTGCAAACATTGACACAGTTGATAATTTTATATAAATATATTTTTTCCCTGTTGAGTCTTTGTCTTTTGACATTGTGGTCATAGTTTTCTGTTTAAGGGTTCTTAATTTTTTTATGTTCTTAATCATATCAATCTTTTCTTGAGTTATTCTAGGTTTTAATGTCAAGTCATACTAATTTTAAAATGGTTTTATTTTAGGCTGACACCATGTTAAAGATGGGCTTTCAACAGCAAGTGCTTGATATTTTGGAAAATGTTCCTAATGATTGTCAGACCATTTTGGTTTCAGCCACAATTCCAACAAGCATAGAACAGCTAGCAATCCAACTTCTGCATAATCCTGTGAGAATTATCACTGGAGAAAAGAACCTACCTTGTGCCAATGTACGTCAGATTATTTTGTGGGTGGAAGACCCAGCCAAGAAGAAAAAATTATTTGAAATCTTAAATGTAAGCAGTAAAGTAATCAACCATATTTTGTAGATTGCATTTGCATTTTTCATAGCTCTTCAGAGAATGATTTTTAGACGGAAGTTTTGGGGAATTTGGTATAGGTGTTTACTAATAAATTGCTTTACCTACTTTAGAATTCTGAGAGGATCAAATAAATTGTTATTTATGAAAACATGCTGGATAGTTACAGGGTTGGGTTTTCTTTATTATAGAAAGATATTTAATTATCAAGATTATTCCTAAAGAATTTTTTTCTTTCCAAAAACTTCAGTTGTTTTTATATAAGATAGAGGCAAGGTATTTTTGACTATTCTGTCCTAGAGAATTTTTTTAACTGTTATTAGTTTAGACAGAAACTTGTTAAGTGGGTGGCATGTGCAAGCATAGTTACTTACAAACACAGTATTAAGTGAAATATGATTGGTAATAAGTAATGAGCGGTATGTAGAGCTATATTATTGCACTTAAAATGTTTGAATTACTCTTGCAGTATTAATGAAGTGATGGAGAAATGCAAAAGGCAGTAGACTTTGGCTTCTGTTTGTGCATATTTTAAAGGAAATACTCCTTTTTTCCTCCTTAACAATATTTATAGGCCAGTCACAGTAGCTCATGCCTGTTATCCCAGCACTTTGGGAGGTTGAGGTGGGAGGATTGCTTGAGTCCAGGAATTTGAGACCAACCTAGGCAACATAGCAAGACCTGGTCTTGACAAAAAAAAATTTTTTAATTAGCTGAGCGTGGTGCACATGCTTATAGTCCCAGCTACTTTGGAGTCTGAGGTGAGAGGATTGCCTGAGCCCAGGAGATTGAGGCTGTAGTGAGCCATGACTGTGCCACTGCACTCTAGCCTGGGCAACAAAGTGAGACCCTGACACAAACGAAAAAAAAACAACCCAATATTTATACACCTATTGGTAACTAGCTTGTACTAATGCCTTCAGAAAAGCATTGTAAATTATGTCATATGAATAATTTTAAATATGTGTTTTCAATTTTTCAGGATAAGAAACTCTTTAAGCCTCCAGTGTTAGTATTTGTGGACTGCAAACTAGGAGCAGATCTGTTGAGTGAGGCCATTCAAAAAATCACAGGTCTAAAAAGCATATCTATACATTCGGAGAAGTCACAAACGGAAAGAAAAAACATATTGAAGGTTTGACACTCAACGTTCCATATTCTCTTTCCTATAAATCTGTTTTGCCTCATTTTCAAGAGATACAATATTACAGCTGGTTTTTTAAAGCAGACTGTTTTTTAATGACTGCAGGAACTTCAAGCAATCAGTGACCATGGAGTTAATATTCTCTTGCTCAGGCTTGTGTGTTTGAGATGCACTAACCCTGATCTCTAAAAAGTATATACTAAATAGATTACTCATTCAGAATTCATCATTTCTTAAATCATTCCAATTTAGGGCGGGGCAGTAGTTCACCTTTGGAAAATATTTGCCTGTGTAAATTAATAGAATAAATTCCATGAGGGTTGGGGAGAATTTAAGCTGCATACAGATTTCAGGTGTATTAAGACCTTTACTGAAAAGATATTGCAACAAAAATATTAGGGTAAGCATTGAAAAAAGAAAGACTATCAGAATGACATAAAACCACATGGAATAAATTCTGAATGAATAAGTTTTTTGCTTTTTTTTCTTTTGGAAAGGGATTACTGGAAGGAGACTATGAAGTTGTAGTGAGCACAGGAGTCCTGGGACGAGGCCTAGACTTGATCAGTGTCAAACTGGTTGTCAATTTTGATATGCCTTCAAGTATGGATGAGTATGTCCATCAGGTAAAGAGATTTATATGTTACCACCATTTTGTTCATGAGTTTTACTGTCAATGTGATGTTAAGTTAAAAACAGTTTTTTTTAAAAAAAAGACATAAAACTTTATCTATTTTTGCTTTTAAAATATATATGTATATAAACTAAAGTTTGCTTTTAAAAACTATATGTATGCCTAAAGAGTATTTTCAAAAATACCTGGAAGTAGGTAACCTAAAGTGTTCATTTAAGCCAAGTGCAGGCTCACACCTGTAATCCCAGCACTTTGAGAGGTCAAGGCAGTAGGATCACTTGAGTCTGAGAGCTGGAGACCAGCCTAGGCAGCATAGCAAGACCTTGTTTCTACAGACAAATCAAAGTATTAGTCAGGTATGGTGGCACACACCTATAGTCCTAGCTACTTAAAAGACTGAGGCAGAAGGATCGTCCTTGCCCAGGAGGTTGAGGCTGTGGTAAGCCATGATCCATGCCACTGTACTCCAGCCTGGGCAACAGAGTGAAACCTTGACTCCAAAAAAAGAGATAAATAAATAAAACATTAGCTGGACTCGGTGGCTCAGTCTGTAATCCCATGATTTGGGAGTCTGTGGTGAGTGGATTGCCTGAGCCCGTGGGTTCAAGACCCGCCTGGGCAACTTGGTGAGACCTCATCTCTACAATAAATCAAAAATCAGCCGGGCGTGGTAGCGCACGCCTGTCGTTCCAGCTACTCAGAAGGCTGAGGCGGAAGGATCGCCGGAGCCCAGCAGGTCGAGGCTGCGGTGGCTGGTAGCGGCCACTGCACTCTGGTCTGGGCGACAGAGTGAGACTCCAACTAAAAAAAAAAAAAAAAAAAATTTTTTTAAAAAATAATAAATAAATAAATAAAACAGTTAAATTATATAGAAATTTTTTGGTTTATTTATGTTTTTTTATTTTGCTTATTCTCTTCAGTGAGCATATAATCAGTGAGCTTTTATGATCAGAAAAAAAGTTTGTTTAAAAAGACTGTTTTAAGTTGATGTATCTGGCCAAAATATAACCGATCTTTAAAGTATTTGGTTTTTTAGGAATCTTGTCTTCATCTCCTCTTCATATCCTTATTTGTTCTAGTCTTTCACCTTTTAAAATTTGTTTCTTTCCTTTGCTTCCAAGGGAAACAATAGTTTCTCTTTGTAGCAGAAATAGAACCTTCTCTTAGCACTGCATGTTATCTCACTGACTGCTACCTGTCTTCCTTCTCCGGCATCACTTACAAACTCTTCAAGTAAAGCCTTTCTCTGGTGTTCTTAGAATCACCTCTGAATGCCATTTACTTGAATCGCCTGCCGAAATGTTTCTAGCACCTTTAATGTGTTGTCACTTTTATTTTTACTTAGACTTAATGATATAGCAGTACTTCTTTCTCTTTATTTTATTTCTTTGGTACCACCTCACTTACCTGCACATCAGAGAATTAAGTATTCCACAGGAGTTGAATCTTTCACTTAGCATAATGTTCTTACATTTCACCCGTGTTGTAATATGGATCCGTATGGCATTTTTTTTTGAATTGCCAAATAACATTCCATTGTGTGAATCTATTACCTTGTTTATCTATTCATTAGTTGCTAGATACTAAGGTTGTTTCTACTGTTTGGGTGCTATGAATAATGCTGCTAATGAACATTCATGTGCAAGTTTTTGTGTAGACGTATGTTTTCATTTCTGTTGGGCGTGTATTAGGAATGGAATTGCTGGGTCATATGGTAACTCTATGTTTAACATTTTGAGGAACTGCCAGACTATTTTCCAAAGTGGCTTCAGTATTTTACATTCCCACCAGCAGCTGATGAGGGTTCCAGCTTCTCCACATCCTCAACACTGATCTGTCTTTTTGATGATAGCTATCCTAGTGGTTGTGAAGTTATAACCCCTGTGTTTTGATATGCATTTCTCTGATGACTCATGATGCTAAATATCATTTCATGTACTTATTGGTCATTTTTTATATCTTCTTTAGAAAAATGTCTATTCTATTGCTTTGTCCCTCTTTCGGATGGGTTGTCTTTACTATTGAGTTGTAAAAGTTCTTTGTGTACTCTACAAGACTTTTATCAAATACATCATTTGTGAATATTTTCTCCCATTATGTGAGTTAAAGCTACTTTTTATTTATTTTTTCTTATTTCTACATGTTTTTCTGTGGACTTTATAGAGAATTAGCCACTTTTTATATTAATTTTTATTTTTATCAGACCAATTCAGTAATTCAGTAAATCAGGTAAAAATAAAAGCTGACACTGAAAACCCTATTTGCTTACCTCACTTCTCCCTAGTCTCACTCCCTTGAGGCAAGGCCTTTCAACTTTTTCACAGTGTTAAAATCCATATGTATTAGCAGGCACTAGCTATCATTTAAATATTTCTGAATATAGACTTCATTTTACATTTCAGTTAAGGATCAGAAATTGGCCATAATTGTGTTTCCCCCTTTTCTGAAGAGTTTCCTTGGTATATTTTCATTATATATTTGGAGACAAGTAGATTTTGTACCTTATTACAAAGTGTGTTTTCCATCACAAATATGTGTCTGTTTAATTGTCAAAATGAAAAGTAACTTTTGCAAGAATGGATTAGTATAAATCTAACATTTTAAGACATATGCTAAAGTAGAGTCCTCTTGTCCTTAATGCAGGGGCTTTCAGTACTTTTTTGGTCTTAACCCCTCCACAATAAGAAATATCTTTATGTCAGCCGCACTTTGGGAGGCTGAGGTGAGTGGAGTGCCTGAGCCCGCAGGTTCGAGACCTGCCCGGGCAACTTGGCGAGACCTCATCTCTACAATAAAAATAAAAAATTAGCCGGGTGTGGTAGCGCGCGTCTGTAGTTCCAGCTACTTGGAAGGCTGAGGCGGAAGGATCGCCGGAGCTCAGCAGGTTGAGACTGCGGTGGCCGGGAGCGGGCACTGCACTCCAGTCTGGGTGACAGAGTGAGACTCTGACTCAAAAAAAAAAAAAGAAATATCTTTATGTCATTACCCCTCTCACACACACAAGTATAGCTGAAGCACAGGCTTCACAGATAGTTTTATTAAATGTGATCACTCTCTTTTCCTTTCTTTTCTTTTTTTTGAGTCAGAGCCTCCCTCTCTCTCCCAAGCTGGAGTGCAGTGGCACAATCGTGGCTCACCACAGGCTCGACCTCCTGGGCTCAAATGATCCTTTATCCTCAGCCTCTTAAGTAGCGGGGACTACAGACTCATGCCACTATGCCCAGCTAATATTTTTTTCTGTTTTGTAGAGATGAGGTCTCATTATGTTGTTGTGCAGGCTGGTCTCAAACTCCTGGGTTCGAGCAGTCCTCCCATTCAAGCAATGGCCTCTCAGAGTGTTGGTTTTACGGTTGTGAACCACCAAGCCTGGCCACTCTCTTTTTTTCTATTTGGGCTGTTTCATTAAAAATATGCCAGTGGCAGCCTACTAAACTGATTACACAAATATATTGAGATGCACAATTCAAAAACTGTTGTCTGACTAAAGGTTAATCTTAGTAAAACTACTTTAAATAATAGTCTCCATTTTCCATCAAAAAGACATTAAGATTTTATAAGAACATTTTGAAAATGTCCTTTGCTTTTCATTTCAGGTTGGAAGAGTGGGGAGATTAGGTCAAAATGGAATGGCAATTACTTTCATCAATAATAATTCAAAAAGACTCTTCTGGGATATTGCAAAAAGAGTAAAACCCACAGGATCTATTCTACCGCCGCAGTTATTAAATTCCCCTTATCTTCATGACCAGAAGAGAAAAGAACAACAGAAAGATAAACAGACACAGAATGATCTGGTTACAGGAGCTGATCTTATGGACATTATTAGAAAACATGATAAAAGTCATTCTCAAAAATGATTTGCTATGCCACTTTGAATGATTTTTTTTGTTGTGTGTAGTCAGCAAAATTTCTGTAAATTATTACTGTATGGTTTGAGTAAGTAGAATTGTACATGAAACAAAAAAATCTTTAAGATATGATTTTTTAAATTTACTAAGATTTCTACAATATTGTTTTTATTTCCCTTATTAATTCTCATAAGTTAAAAACATCAGAAGATGAATTTTTAAATAAAGTAAAATTGTTTTCTCTGAGCAAATATTATTTTTTAAAATAGTCCTCAGAGCAACTGTCAGAACCAGAAGCCTCCCCAGCAAAGAGCTTGACTCAGAATGGTGATTCATTTGCTTAGTATCCCCACAGTGACACAAGCACGTTAGCACTTGACTTATTGTTGAATGATTGAGTTGGGGAAAAAAGTAGTGATATAAACCGGAAGAAGTGTTCAGAACTGCAGTTGAAAGATAAATATGAAATGTCTATTTTTATTCTCAGTGATTTTACATTCAGCTTGGTTAGCAAATTTTTTAATAATATTTAAGGTGAACTGCTTATGAAAATAATGTCAAACTATGTTAATGTTGCTTTGCTAATTCAATTACTAGTTTTAAATACTGGAAGGAAGGATAAGTGCTTAGCTTTGATGCATCTATATTTTCATTTGTTTGAAAACTGTTGGCATCACTTTAGTTGGGGAGTTTAGACAGTATATTATACAAACGTTGACATTTAAACAAGCTTTACAGCTTCAGTATATTCCCCAAGGAGTGTGGGAGAGCTTTAGCTAACTAACAAGAGTTCCTGTATCCATAGTTTCTTAGTGTTACCTCTAACACCCAAAAGAAGGAAGGGAGTCAGAAGTTCCACAAAGAGACTACGCACCTTTAGGACTCTGACTCTCTCTCTGTTTCGGAATGTCTGCTAACTGTTGCGAGGTGAGTTTGATTTTAAAGGAACAAGGACGAGGCGACTGTTAAGGTCACGGGCTGCAATAGCAAAGGTGCATTAGGAGGCTTAATATATACTAAGTGCCTTCAGAGTGTTAGTAATAATAACCAGAGAAGAAGGCCGTTTTCACTAGACTCAAACTTGTTTATAAATAAAAGTGATATAGCCAGAAAATTAAGATAGCTCCGTAAATCAGCATTTATCAGAGACTAAACAAAAATGAATAATATTATGCTAAAATGTAACCTCACTGGTTCACTTAATTTATTGGCGATCTGGCTTCTATTCCCTCCATTGTACTCACACTGATCTTTCAGTGGGTTCTGATGACCTTCTAAAACGACATATTCTGCCAGTGTTCACTTGAAACATATAATGCATTGGTGGTTGTTGACCACTCTGAAATTCTCATTTCCTTAAGCCACCAGTTGAATGAGATAGTGTTGAGGGAAAGAGGCCCTAACTCACAGGCTCAGTATGAAAAGTGTAATTGCAGATGTAGCCCAGTAGGGTCAGAGCTAGCTGTTAGTGCCCTTCCCCCTTCCTTCCTTCTCACCGCAGCATCTTCAAGCCCCTCTTACTGGTTCTTCCCACCTCTTCAAATCTCTTAACTCTTGACCTTCTGCTTCTCAAACCTTAAGATCTTTCCCTTGGCTCACATTTCTGCTCCTCTGTTGTCTGAGGTACTGCAATGCAGTGGTTGCCTCAATATGATGGACTTTATAGACCAGGCTTTTTAAAAATTGATTTCAGCCTGAGCCCGTGGGTTCGAGACCTGCCTGGGCAACTTGGCGAGACCTCATCTCTACAATAAATCAAAAAATTAGCCAGGCATGGTAGCGCGCGCCTGTAGTTCCAGCTACTTGGAAGGCTGAGGCGGAAGCTGGAGCCCAGCAGGTCGAGGCTGTGGTGGCCGGGAGCGTGCCATGCACTCCAGTCTGAGTGACAGAGTGAGACTCCAACTCAAAAAAAAAAAAAGAGGACAGAAAAGCTCCCACAGTGGGAGGGGATCCAAGGGGGTTGCCTGACGTTTGTTTTACTTTACAGTCGCTGTGTATGTAATATGACAAAAGTACTGAATTACCTTTTTGATTGATTCATTGCCAGATTGAAACAAACGTCTTTTATATATCAAACACCTTAATTATGAGTGGCTTTTAGACTTTATGAGATACTTTTAGTGCCATTCTATTAGTTTTTCTAATGCCAAGCATATTTTTAAAATCAACTGTTTTTCAGCAAGTCAAAGTGGGTTTTTTTAATATGGTTTCATAACATCTTTGCAAAGAACATTGCCACATATTTAAAGTATGACTCACTGATTAATTTAATAGATCTCAGCTGGATCCATGGCCTGTCATATTTTCTGATACAACTATGCTATTTTCTTCTGGCAGCTGAGTATTATTCAGGTTGTACCTTTCTATGGAATGAATAGAAGCGTACCACTTCTTGCCTTGTTTGGCACAATCAATACAAAATTTGCTCCACAAACAGGAATGGTACAAGAGGTAAGGTGTCATCCAAGGTGACTTTCCTGGCAGCAGCAAGTAAACTGACTCCAGACAGATAGGACTCCTTTGTTGTGTTCAAGGCATACTTATACTGACCCCAGAAGCTCTAGGGCCACAGTGTGAAAACCAACCAATGATAATTGGGTAAACACCATTCTCTTCTTCTGCTGGTAGCGTGAGAACCTATTTTATATTTTATAATGTGTGGCATGTGTGGGTGTTATTGGTCAGTATCAAAGCATACGACAAATGTTCACTTTTGTAATGTGTTTACAAATAGTAATTTTTAAAAATGAATTTTAGCATTGAAAAATTTGCACATCGCCTTTTCTTGTTTTATCCCAGAAAGATGAAGACTTGGTAAAGCTGTTTGAGAATAACAGGGCTCCAGTTGCAGTTCCACCAGTTTTTTTTTTTTTCCTTTCATTTTTGTTTTTTTAATTAGGGCAAATTAATTTCTACTCTAATCGTTAGCTTTGCTCATCTGTAAAATAGGGTTTGCCTTAAGGTTCTCCAAGGTCTTCCCAAGCCTATATTTTCTGTGCTTCGTATTTTTAAATCCCTATTTTCCTAATTAATTTGCTTCAGAATAATCCAGAGTGGCGAATGTGGATGAAACAAGATTGGCCAAGAGTTGATCCTTATTGAAACCGGGTGATGGGCACATGAACGTTTAATGCTATTTGGTTTACATTTGACAGATTCAAAATATTCCATAATAAAAACATATATGTATATATATGTTCTCCAATACCATCCTTTCACTTGTGCCCTAGCTACATGTCTTCACCTTTCCTTGGAGCTGCTTGGCATGTTTAAAGCCAAATTTAGCTTCTTACAGAAAGCCTACTTCTTCCTTTCTGACTTCCCTATTGCCTACGGTGCCACCATGCCCCCAGTTTTGCTCAAAGTCATGCTGTCATCATTGAGTCATTTATCTCCCTAATTTCCATATGCTTAGTCATAAAGCCTATCTGGTTTTCTTTCAAAATGTCCATATTTTCATGACATTGAACCCCAGGACTCTATCATTTCAAAATAATAGCAGTTTCTGAGTTTACCGTTCTAATCATAGGTCACTTGCTACTCAATATTCCTCCAATCCAGAAATCCAGAGCAGGAGAATCTTTTTAGAGTGTAATTTCACTGTATTGAGTCCTTAATGTTCTCTGTAAGTTCTTGGAAATCATGACTTGAAGTGAAATGACGTATAACGAAACCAGTTCTACCACAGGCTAATGGATATAAAAGGGTAAAGTTCCCACTGCATATTTCTGGTCCCCAAAACACCACCAAACTTCTAAATAAAGACTAAAACAGGCCAGAAGCTCCCTGCTGACAGCACCTTCAAATCTGAGTTCCAGCTGGTTCCGAATCCCTCTTTCAGGGTCCACTTGCCCTTCTCGCTTTCCTCTCCTTCCTCCCCAGCAGAGTCGTCTGCCCGGGTTTCTCTGCCTGTTGGACCAGGGCTGAGCACCATCGCGGAAGGACTGGACAGTTCATCAGAAGCACCGTGGGCACATTCACAATGCGAATGATTCACTGCTGGCGATCAAGGACTGATGTGTCACAGCGAGCTCTCACACTTCTGACACAGCTAAAGGAGAGCAAAGAATCTGCTGTATTTGAACAATTGTAATTAGGAACTGCTTTTAACTTTTTTTTTCGGTTTTGTTTTTTGCCTTTGTCTTTTTTTCTGTTTTGAATCCTGGTGATATCTACATTGGAATTAAAGAAAATCTTAAGTGCTGGGAATCAGGAAGTAATAGTAAAGTGAACTCTGAAACTAGGGCAGCATTTTATTTTATATATTTTTATTTATTTGTTTGTCTGTTTATTGAGACAGGGTCTCAGTCTAGCCCAGACTGGAGTTCAGGGGCACGATCCCGGCTCACTGCAGCCTGGAACTCCTGAACTCAAGTGATCCTCGTATCTCAATCTTCCAAGTAGCTGGGACTTCAGGTGAACACCACCATGCCCAGCTAATTCTTTTTTTCTTTTTCTTTTTTTTTTTTTTTAAGATGAAGTCCATGTTGCTTAGCCTGGTCTGGAATGCCTGGGTTCAAGTGATCCTGTCACCTCAGCCTCCCAAAGTGTTGGGATTACAGGCATGAACCAGATGTGTCCAGCCTAGGGCAGCATTTTAGAACTGATAAAGCTGCCTTGATATGTGAGTTAAGCAAGTGAGTACATTCAATTAAATGTAGTGCTTTAGGGAAAGAAAATTAGGGCATTTGTAAACAACTGCCATGATTTTTAAGACATTTTACAAAATTAAGCAATTTAAAACTGTCATGAATGCAAAAATAAAAAAGCAGCAGAAAATTTCCAATTGAAAATAACATTTTTAAGCCAGGTGTGGTGTCTCACACCTGTAATCCCAGCACTTTGAGAGGCAAAGGCGAGAGGATTGCCCGAGTCCAGGAGTTCAAGACCTCGTCTCTACAATAAATCAAAAAATTAGCCGTGTGGTGGTTCACGCCTGTGATTCCAGCTACTTGGAAGACTGAGGAGGAAGGATCACCTGAGCCCACCAGGTGGAGGCTGCGCTCCAGTCTGGGTGACAGAGTGAGACTCCTACTCGAAAGAAAGGAAGGGAGGGAGGGAGAATAAATAACATTTTAGTCTGGGCATGGTGGCTTATGCCTGTAATCCTAGTACTTTGGGAGACTGAGATGAGAGGATTGCTTGAGCCCAGGAGTTCGAGATCCACCTAGTCAACATAGCGAGCTCTTGTATTTGCAAACAATTTTTTTAAATTGGCACGTGCCTATAGTATCAACTACTGGGGA